CGTGTTTTGAGTATGGTTACTAGTTTGTGTCGTGTTTTGTGTATGGTTTGTGTTATGTTATTTTGTAGATGCACTAGTTGTCGTGGTTTGTGCATGACACTAGTTTGTGTCGTGTTTTGTGTACGTGTACTTGTTTGTATCGTGTTTTGAGTGTGTGTACTAATTTGTGTCTTGTATTGTGTATGTGTACTATTTTGTGTCGTGATTTTTGTAAATGGGTCGTGTTTTTTGTACGTGTGCAATTTTGTTTCATGTTGTTTTTTGTATGTTTGCATCATGCTTTGTGTATTTAAGCAAGTTTTGTAGAGAACATTTTACGGTTATCATTTACTGGCGTGCTTTTACTGCTTACATAGCGCACTGAAGTGACAATTATTTTATACATACATTCTTTAAAATATTGTGTTGTTAACTACGGGAATCCTAAAATATAGGTCGAAGCGTACCTGACTGGAATATTTCTGCCTCAGTCTTGGTGGTGATGTCAATTTGATCACACACCGGACATACGCTTGCCTGTCGCCTCATTCTGTTCAAAAGGGAGGTAGATCGTCTACGTCTACCAGAAAACAGACCTGAAATAAACCACAATACCAACAATAATAATAATACTAATTATAAACAACATTGCCAATTTTCGTGCAGTGAAATATTCGTCCGTCATTTGTAAAATTCATATTCGCCCCATGTTAATTTCACCCCAATTCATGCTATTTCTATAATGATATGTTCTATACTTATATTTGAGATTGTGGGTTAATGTCCACAGATTGGAAAGTGCTACCTTGTCCAGAGTTTGGAAGGGGCTTTATAAATAAAAGATAGAATGATCGTTTCAGGATAATCAAAGAATGTCTTATCTTTATTGTTCCATGTTTTATTTGAGTAGTTTTCACGTGGTATATACCTACCTCCGATACTATTCCCCAAGTCAGACAATCCACCAACAATTTGAGTACCGACATCCGGAAGTGACGACATGACATTCCTTAGACCACTCAGAGCGGAGGTTGCGCCAGTTGAAATCAGATCAGGGAGGTTATTAAGTTTGGAAATAGTTGCCGTTCCAAATTTGGTAACACCGTTAACAAATCCACCGGAAGTACCTATTGCGTCCGTAATGGCTGCACCAAGATCGGTGAATTTTTGTCCAGCTGTGCTCAATGCCTTCTTAACTTCAGATACAGCTTTTTCGGCTTCATTGCCCAAGAAACTTCCGATACTTTTCAATGTAGATGTAGTGATTTTTGCAAATTGCTGACTTTTGCTACCCATGATGCCACCAAGATTCGCTATGTCTTGACTTGCTCCATTGAAAAAACTCTCCATGGCAACGACAGGTTTGTTGAGTTCGGAGACGATGCTGCTGAGCACATTGCCTGACGGTGCTGTAGCTCCAGGATTACTAGAAAACCCACAGTACCACACAAGTCAGTATAATATATCTCCGTCTATGATAGCGTTTTGGTTGCGTTAAAATATTAAAAAATTGACTATTATAACGACTTTTATAATGTTATTCAATTTGACAATAAACTATATATATATATATATATAT